TGGACCTCCCTGGACTGAGTCTACCAAGTTGATCACAGTCCTCGGGGGAGGACTTGTCCTGGAGGAGGTGGGAATGGAGGGTGGGCTGGGGGTAAGGGGAGGGCGTGGGAGGGGGGAGAATAGGGGAACCCATGGCTGATATGTAGAACTGAATCGTATTGTAAAATAAAAAATATATATCACAAAAAAAAAATATTACAAAACAGCCTGGGTTGCATTTTGGGATCACAATATATTGAGATACCTAGTCTATAAGATATCTTCCATGGAGACTTAACTGCATATAGGGAATAGCAGTAACCAAAGGAAGAGATGTATGAGAAGTTTCAGGGATAGGGCCATGTAAGCCCTTTGAAATTGAAGCCCCATGCTTCTGAGACAGAGATACAAAATTTTATCTTTGTACTTCCATTCTTCAGTCTTGCTTTGGTTCAATCTTCCCTTACTAAGTCTCAAATTATCTCTTTTGAAATGTAAATAGTATTCTGTGTCATTGTATAATGGAAAAATGTAACCTGTTTTCTGGTTTTATAAGATGTCCCTGTTAACAATTGTCTTGGGTGTCAGAAGAGACTTTGGACATTTGAACAGTGTTAGCACTGTTGTCGACTATGACAATCAAGGAAGTGAGTAAATGCATTTTCTTCATAGATGACCATGAGCCTATAGTGACCTGAGACAGAATGTAGTTGATTGAATGATAAACCTCCCAGATAGGATGATGTATTGGAACATGTGTCTCTCCTTGGTGTCTTTCTTCCCATTGATTATAAAAACATTAGTAGGAGGAGACCTTCTGGATGAAATTCCTCATTGTGGATATGATAAGAGTATCTATATCCTCAACCCATTTCCTGTTTCTTTTGTCTACTGTGTTGTGATTGAAACTAATCAGCCAGCTTTATGCCTTCATCACCATATTGACTCTATCTCTAAATTGCATAAGATACAGTAGAAATATTTGGTATTCAATGCTAAGGCAGTTTGTTAGCCTGATATTTTAATGATTTTCTTTGTTTTTGAAGACAAGTTTTGTCATTATAGCCTTTGCTGTCCTAGAAGTACACCTCTGTTCACTAGGCTGGCCTCAAATTCAGAGATACCTTTGACTCTGACTCCAAAGATCTAGGAATAAACAGTTGGTCCACATTCCTGGATTTTTTTGTTTTTCTGTTATTGGGTGATAGGCTAGGAATGTAGGTTTTTGTTGGGCATATGATGTTGTAGTGAGGTTCACCCATAGTTTGAATTTTAAAATTTGCAGAGGGTTCATTCCATTTTTCATAATTGCATGTATTCATGACATTAATACTGCCTGAGCCTTTTGGGTCTTTGGATTGCAGGTGCACGACCATCTTCCTGCTTGTTGTTTGTTTTGAAAATTTAAATGAATATGAGTATTTTCCAGTATGTATCAATATACACCATGTATGTAATAGTTGTGATATGCACCACATGGGTACCTGGTCCTCACAGTGATCAAAAGATGGTCTCAGAAATTCTTTTTTTTTTTTTTGTTTGTTTGTTTGTTTGTTTTTCGAGACAGGGTTTCTCTATGTAGCTTTGCGCCTTTTCTGGAACTCACTTGG